TCGACCTACCTGGTATGGTAGAACCTTCAGGAACATATGTTCCAGCCAGTATAGCTCGGTTGGGTGATCACGATAGGCAAGCCCGACCACCACGTCAGGGTAGCAGCTACGGTCGATAGGTTTATACACATGGGTCAATTTTCAACAGTTTAATTGAGAACAGATAGAAGTATTTAATTATATAAACAAAAATATTATTTCCCTATTTGTGTATTGATAATTTTCCCCAGTTTTCATGTGCCATAATTAAAAATCTTTCTATTAACAATATAAAACTTTTCCTTTTTTTATAACCGTGAAATATTGAGTAAACTATATCTATCTCATAAGTCTAATTTAGATCAATATACATGACCTTTGTACTAATGTTCTGTTTAATCAATTTCCTTTTTTGTCATAATAATTACCTAATTCAATTAAAAAATGATCACATGATCATCAATAAAAAATTGATTCTATCTCGATGTTAATATGGTATGGCGTTGGATAATAATATTAATTAATGTAACTTTGTTTGTAAAATTGAAATTTCATATTTTAAAATAATGAAGAGGTGACTACTAGTGGAGCTCAACTCTCTGTTGGGTGTAAAACAGTAACTACCAAAGACAAATGTGTAAGGTTGCGCAATACTTTGAGATTAATCAAAGGTAGACACTAAGCACCGTTGGTTACTGGCTCAGTAGTCCAGAGGTTAAGCTTTCGTGCACTACACAAGAATGTATTGGGTTCGAATCCTGCGATTAGCAGCGAGAGTCGTGAGTGTGCACTATTGGTGAGTCGTATGTCAGGAAGAAAAATCGACCGTCCAGTACTTCCAGTTTCCTAATAGTGGTCACATAATGATCGATTCATGATTTAAATGACAAACAATGATACTGTCTGATAGACTAAAAAGAAATTCAAATGGAGAAATGCAAAGTTTGACATCTAATTGAAATCAGAGTTTATACTAGATAAGTTTGGTGAAGACGCTGACCAAATGCCGAGTCTTCTGACTACCCTGAGAAACAATGCAAGCATGTTCGAGATGCGGTTCTCCCCGTCGAAATGCGAACTGTTTTTTCAAGATAGGGTCGCGTCGGTACGTGAAAAAAAGTGATAGGGAGTGAAGTAGTTGAGCTTGTAGACCACTTCAATTACCTTGGAAGTTTCATCAGTACCGATGGCCTGATGAAATCTCTGCATGGATACAGAATGCTCGATTAGCTTGATTTGTGTGCATAGACAACCTTATATTTTCTAAATGCTTGTAGGAATACACTTTCTACGCCTTATCAAGACTTCTTGATATAATTGGCGGAGCCGACGACAAATGGATTAGAATAGCCTATCGTGTCATTGTATCATTGCTTTCGTTCTGTTTACCGAATAAGGTGAACTCGTCATAGCATTCAATCATATCAAAATCTAACATACTTGTACTATATCACTATATAGCATAGATTTCATCTATAAAACGTTAAACTATTATCATTCAAGATACGCACTTTTTTTCTAAATTTGAAACTCATCCGATGGAACATTCCTGCATCCCTGGTGTTGACTAGAACCTAAATGAATAAGTGCTCTTCAAACACCATCACATATTTGATTAAACTATTTATTCAATCAATAAGAAAGATTGATAATTTCTCATTGATTAATTAAACAGTCTTTCATTTCATTTGTCAAATCCTAAACGGATGAATTCAAGAAATATCAGTAAGACTGGAGCCCTTACTATTTGTTCTATGAAAAAAAACAAAGAAAGATACTTTCATACAAACAGATGGACTTTCGAACTACAAAGAAAAAAATCAATAATATTTGCCATAAAGACGTGTTTACATAATCATGGCGGCCTCCTATAATTGAAACTAGTTTTTAATAATTTAATTTGATTTATTGAATAAAAATTTTTGTTTATTGAATTCGAGAATAATTAGGCTTTTATTGATGTTAATAATGACTTGATCAACAATTAAAAAATTCAAGTCATTTTTTAAGTAAACTTGGCAATCACATAGACAACTACTAATCGATACTGATCAGTGAGTAATTTACGCCAAAAGTTTACTATTATTGATGAATTGTTAGTAAATAAGATCACTCTTCTATTTTTTTCATTTATTATAATAAGCAGAGTAGCTGAGACTAACTAATTTCAATGATAAATACACTTCACTCCCATTTTTATCGGCAATCAAGGATAACAAACAATGCAAAAGGTCAAAGTTTGGGAGAAAAAAATCAATTTGAATGAGGTAGATACACCAATAGTAATCAATTAAAAACGGGTGTATAAGATTTCAGTTAGTGTACACACACTGAGTTTGTAATGAATAAATAAAACGATAATAACTGACGTAATGAGAATATGGGAAAGGATGAACTGAAAATGCTGATAGTTACTGAAATATTGTGGTGCGAGTTACTTTAAGTAGTATATGACGTGAGTGTCAACGTAATGTCTGGAAGCAGAAGATGGGGGAAGATCAACAAGAAAGGAAGAGTTAGAAAACAATGGAATTTGTATGAAACGCATGAATAGTGACAATGGATTGATGTTTTGCAACAGGAACAGACAGTCCAGTTCGATATGATGAACTGGTATTTTGCAAATTAACGATATGGTTTTCCTATTATTTTACTGAGTAACTCTGTAATTTTCGTTAAATACAATTCGGTTGCCCCACCTGTGTTCTCATTCACTACAATATATGTTCAATCAACTTCTTCAAAATGGATCATTCACTACGGTACTTAGAATATAACTAATATTCCTAAAGTATACAATATGGTCGTTACTAGTTGGTAAATAACTGAATACACCAGTAAAAAGCTCTGATTAGTAGTGTTTCACGACGTGTTAATTTTGTTACGCACACACGTGAACACGTCAATTTGATATGCTTGAAACTATTCACCTTAGTCAGTAAACGAAAGCAAGGATCGATGATCCGGCGACACGACAGACTATTCTAATCCAAACGTACCAAACCCTCATCAAGTAAAAGAAGAAGACTTGATATGAAGTAGAACGTGTATTCTACAAGCGCATACCAGAGTCCAGAAGACGATAAGAATCCGGATTATAAAACGTGATAGATAATGCATATTTATGCAGTTAGATCGAATAAGAAACAAGTTTGTGACATTGATAGTTAAAACGACCAATAGGAATTGACCAATAGAATTAGACTTGCAGATAATTCTCTTAGGATATTGGATGAATATCCTAACAAATTTACAACAAGCTGACGAATCTATTGTATTTCTTTCTGAGTTTTCGATTCATGTGATTAGCACTACAAGTGAAACCATATATGTTGGGAACCACAATAGGATAACCTATATTACCATATAGGTTATATATTACCATATCCATAAACTAATTAACGTTAAATTCACAAGAGAAGAAGTAGCCGAAAACGAAAACTCATTCTTGAACGTATGAATAAACTAGAAATACACGAGTCGATGGGAAACTAAGCCAAGCTAAGAGCTACAGTAGTTGGTTGCATTACCCAACAATACAAATGAATTGCATACAAGTATTATTCAACTCAGCCAAAATACTGAAACATTCTCACTATGTAAAAAAGTGGCTAATCTAGAAAGTTGTGTTCAGTAAACGCTAATTTATCTCTTAAAACATATTTTATTTTCCCTTTTAATTATTGTTTCATAACGAAAATGATCTAAACGCCTTTATTTTGTTCTAATGACTAACAACCGTAGCAAGCTTTATACAGAAGAAAACTTTTCAATTAGACAGACAAACAGACAGATACAACGCAGAACTTCGTACATAATTACATCAGTTCAGGTTGCCATACCACATCAGCACAGAGACACATCTGTCAGTTCAAATCCAAGAGTGATAGAGATAGTAGAATTATTAGCAGCAATGGAGAAGATTACGGAGCAAAGATATAATTCGAAAAGTATAATTCAGTAAGATAAATTTAGAAGGGAAATATAGATATTATGAGGAATGCAGAAAGTTGAAATTTCATAGAACACAAAGAGTGGATGCACCTGCGCCATTGCAAACAATTTTGAGCCATGTCATTCAAGGTCTATAACCAACGGTGACTTTCGTCTCGCGGACCCCAATCAGGTAGTCAACACGTCCACTAGTCAGTGACTTCATGCATTTCTGCCATATTTTGGTTTGGACGCCCCTAACTTTCTTCCAACCTACACTTCTTACACCACAAAACATAGCTCGTCGAGGCAGTCAATGGTTAAGCCTACGTAACATATGTCCCAACTACCTCAACTGATGAAGTTACACCACTTCATCTATTGATCTTCCATCCTTCTCTAGTACTCGCTTCTTAACGATAGCATTGCTTATACGGTTGTCCCAGGATACACGAGCAATGTTTCGGAGACATCGATAATCGAAGACAAGTAACCTACCAATGTCCTCTACTTCTAACGGCCATGTTTCGCATCCGTATAGTACGACAGAGCGAACTTCTGCGCAGTATAGCCGTCTTTTGTTTAACAAACGGATATCTTGCCTGCGCCATAAGTGACTCAGGTTGGCAAAAGCCAATCGAGCCTTCTGTATCCGAGCTGAGATTTCGCCGGTCACGAGGCTATCAGCACTGATGAGACTCCCCAGATAAGTGAAGCGATCTACACGCTCGACTACTTCACTCCCTATCACTAGTTCACGTACAGACGCAATCCTATCTTGAAGCAACATTTTTCATTTCGAGGGGGAAAACCGCATCCCGAACATGCTTGCATTGTTGCTTAGGGTAGTCAGAACACTCTGCATTATAGTTTTCTTTTTACACATTTAAAATCATCAATCACAATCATTGTTAGACTACCATCATTAAAAAACCTGAAAATAACTGAAAGACGAATGTTTCGTCCTCTGCTATGATGAGACTACTCATCAATCAGCGGCAGTGCACATCCACAACTCCTACATCTCACACGATTTGAACACGAGACCTTCAGTCTTGCATGCGACCTCTGTACAAATAGGCCAACATCCTACGGTGTTATTTATGCCAATATACTCTTCATAACTTACATTTTCACAATAACAAAAAACAATAATAACAAAACAGCAAACAAAACACAGAAACTGACAAAAGATTCCCCTTTTCTGTATGTGTGTGTGCGCGTGTGCGTATGTATCTGTCTATACGTATTTATTATATCATAAAATAGTAAAGATTTTCGCGCGAAAAAAAATAAAACAAAACAAAATTGAAACACACAAAAAAAACGAAAACAACTAAACAATATTCCTGAGTTATGATTAATTATTATGAGAGAAAAAGACAATGCTGCAATGCAATGCAACAACAATCAAAACAACTATATATATGTATAAATAAAGTGGTAAGATTGAACTAATAATCGTAATAAACAAGACGAAAAAAACACCTGAGCTTTGTTGTGTTTTCTGTGTGTTTTCGAAATTTTCTATTCTTTATTTAACATAGCTAAACGTACACTGATAGCTGAAGCAAATGATAACCATAAAACATATGGAATCAATAGATTACTGGCATTCACATTGATTGAACGAAATACATGTACACAGGTTAAAGCACCACCAAGTATTCCTACATTTAATATAGCTCCCTTTAGGTGAAGAAACAAAAATACATATACATTAAAACACAAGTAGTTGTCAGATAGATTAAATAAAGTAAAATAACACAGAAATATTACATAATTAAACTAGGATTATAGGTGTTGTTACTCGACCGAAGCTGCTACATTGATGTGGTTGGTGGTCGGGCTTGCCTATCGTGCGATGACCCAACCAAGCTATATTGGCTGGAACTTATGTTCCCGTACGTTCTACCATGCCAGGCAGGTCGATTGGAGAACGATCAGACCAAAAGCAACTACTCAAGGTCTGAGGGCGAAGTCCTACTGCTGACTGTGATGGAGGGGTGTGACAGCAGCAGTAAGGTGTTTCCCTCGGATAACCAGCATCTGCAGCGATGCTGCCTTCTCACAAAGAAGGAAGGGTTAGAAAAGGTCGATCCTAAAAATGTCACACTTCACCCTACTTCACGGATTTTCGTCTCCGGTGGTAAGGATGCCCACTAAGGGCCTTTAAGAGCGGAGCTAATACTCAAAAAACCTTTCATCAAAAGGCCGTGCGTGACCGGCCTCAAGCAGTTGTCCCCTGAGCTCTGCGGTCACGCTCCCAGGTCTCCAAGACCAACACTAATCTATCTTCCTTTTCAGGTCCCCCAAGAAACACCCTTCCACGGTGTGGACAGCCGGGAAGTGATAACCGCCCTCATACCCGTAACAATACACATGAGACCAAATTGGTCAAAATCAAATCCTTCCTACCCCGTGTTGTTAAGCTCACAATTAGTATATTGATCATCATTCCAATAAGTTTGGTATAGCCAAACTAAGAGAGAGTCCATTGTCTTTACAGGAGTATTATTGGTGTGTGACACGTTTATAATCACTGTCAGAAATGTTCTACTTGCTGCTTTCTCTCGGTGAGCTTGTTCTTTAACGAAAGTAAAGACAAAAAGCAACTGTCGTCTAGTGCTCTTTACTGAGTTGATAGACACGAAGTATCCACCTATGAGAAATGAAAACCGCGATCGAAAACCTAATGGTTTGCAAGATTTTGTGGTATAAAATGACGTACAAAACTATCTTTGATCACTCGATGGGTATCATTGCATCTTCCGATGTCTCACAAATGCCTTGTGGGTTAGACTTTCCAGGCAAAGGCTTGAGGAGTAGCCTCCTTAGGAAAACCACCTGCTTCGATTTAGGCAACCGGGTAGTATCCCAACTCACACACAAACTCATTGGTTTGTGTGGCGTACAAATATTTTAGGCGCCCCTTTGTACTAGTTCGTGTCTAAACAATGACGTCGTGGTATAAAAAAGAGCTCCAAAGAACTGGGATCTGTCAGTCTATCACAACTTTGTAATTAGTATCCGAGAGATAGTGCAGCTCAGTGGCTTCAGAGGCTATTAGGTACGCCTAAAAACATAGAACCTAATAGCCGTCACATAGTTTTCTGTTATGCTCCTTACAAAAGCAATAAGAACTTCTTCACTCAGTGAAAGAATCCTTAGAGGTGGTAATTTTCAAACTGATTTGTCTTTCCTATTGTAACTTGTTCCCGTTATATGTTGTATATTCATCTATTTGATTATGCTCCCTATTATTTTACTCCACCCGGAGCTCCTCTGGGGCTGCTACTGCCAGTCACAAGCCCGGATAAAGGAGTGGTGGGTGGGTGTAGGGTTAGCGATCCCATCCTGTAGAAAACTAATTCGCTAAAAAAAATCGCTAACCAGAAAAATCAATTCAAACACCATTGAAACTCTGTCCTGGGAGTTAGAAGATCTTCATTCAGAACAGCTATGGCATCTTATGATGAAAGCCAAGTTCTTTCAGAAGTCCCTCTTATTTACCTATTTCATCACAGATTCACATATTTACCTCTATGAAATTGCTTAATTAATCAATGAATTAAACACTGTTGGCTGAGATCTATGACATGAAAGTTGTTGCTACTACTTGAACACTAACTGTTTCATAGATTTAGACCAGTAGTTGTGTTTTGTGATAGTAAGTAGACTATTTATCTTGATTAATGTATATAACTAGCGATAAATTTTTTCAGTACAATTCACAATTCAAGAGTGACTCTACTAGTTTAGAAAAAGAAACGGAACAACTACTCATTAGATTAACAACTACTTTGTCCCAGTCATGAAAAAAAATACAAAATTATTCAACTATTTAGACAATATAGGCGAAACAAATTAAAATTTGTTTATATATTCGAAGCATTGCTCGTATATCGTGGGACATCCGAGTGAGCAATGCTGTTATTAGGAATCGGGTGCTAGGTAAGAATGGCAGATCAATAGATGAAGTAATGAAACTTCATCAGTTCAGGTGGTTGGGACATGTGTTGCGTATGCCTAACCACCGACTGCCTCAACGAGCTTTGTTTTGTAGTGTAGGAATAGGTTGGAAGAAAGCTAGGGGCGGCCAGACCAAAACATGGCAGAAATCCATGAAGTCATTGACAAGTGGACTGAGCCATGTTGGTAATCGTCGACTACCTGGTTGGGGTCCGCGAGATGATAATAATCGATGGTTAGAGACCTTGAATGACATGGCTCAAAATCGTTCTCAATGGTGCCGGTGCATTTATTCTTTATGTTCTCTCAAGTCCTAATCTTCTGGATTCTCCAACCCCTCTAGTTTTGACTTTCTAAACTTTTCTCACTGAATAATACTTCTTGAATAATATCTTCTAACCCTAACCTCTCCGATTACTTCTAATAGCTTTACTACCTCTTCTACTATTGGATTTGAATTGACAATTACATCTCTGTGTGCTAATGTGGTATGGCAACATGAACTGGTGTACTTACGTACAAAGTTCTACGTTGCATCTGACTGACTGACTGACATATTCAGATGACTGACACTAAAATCAATATATATATATATATATATATATATATATATATATATATATATATATACACGTGAAAAACCCACATAAAAAATAAACATACATATTTAATTTTGTGCAATCCAAAAAACACAGGTGTCCATGACCAATTAAGTAAAAGTTGAGCACCATAAATAGACAAAGGAATCATAGCTTTACCATGTGGTGCATCTCTCCATACTAAATAAGATGCAGTTCCCATACAACCATACAATGCACTCCATACTGGTCCAAAAACCCATTTTGGTGGTGAGAATGATGGTTTTTTCAAAGTATCAAACCAATCCATATTTTTTGAAACAATACGCTGACCAATAAATGCTCCAACAAATGGTAAGGCAATAAAAGATGATGCATGTAGGAAAGATGTTTCAGGCATTGTTGTTTTATCGTTTTACAGCAAGAAGTAAAGTTTTGCTGATTAGGGAAGAACAAAAAATTAATATAACTTAATTTATTTATCATTCTTTCTATTACCTCAGAGTAATAAAACAATATAAATAAGATTGATGAATAACCATATTGTAAATGTTAGCTCATGAATCATATATACAGATATCAGCAGTCAGTCAGTCAGTTGCAACGTAGAACTTCATACGTATGTGCATAAGTTCATGTTGCCATACCACATTAGCACAAAGACGCAGATGTCAAATCAAATCCCATAGTGATAAAGATAGAAGAGGTATTAATGGTAATGAAGAAGACTAGGGTTCGAAGATATTATTCAAGAAGTATAATTAAGTGAAATAAGGTTAGAAAGGCAAAGGTAGATGTGCTGACGAATCTAGAAGATTAGGATTTGAGAGAGTTCAAAGAATGGATGCACTTGCGCCATTGCAAACGATTTTGAGCCATGTCGTTCAAGGTCTCTAACCATTGGTGACTATCGTCTCGCGGACCCCAACCAGGTAGTCTACATCTACCGACGTGACTCAGTCCACTTATCAGTGACTTCATGGATTTCTGCCATGTATTGGTTTGATTTTGTTGGAGAAGCCATTGCACTCAATTAAGTTGTATGTCATTTACGATACAATAAAATAGAGAATCACCTTAGGCTATTTAATGAACAGTACACAAATAACTTGAAGTGCGTACAAACGGTTAAAAGTGATTTCCCAGTTTACAAGAGTTTTGCTGAATTCACAACAGAGATGCACTTTCATTGTAAATCACTTCTTGTCAGTAAAATTCTATTCATTTATTCAGTTGGTAAATGTCTTCTGTGTTAATAATATAATGTAAAGAATGATAGCTACGTAACAGATCAATCGGTAAGGAAGTTAATAAATGGGATTTAAATTTTATCTGTGTATATGAAGGTACTTATAATTCTGATTGACTTTTGGACTGAGATGTATGAGTAACAAATTAAAATAAACAGATTTTTACACGGAAAACTGCGAGTGTATGAAGACAATTATAAGTACAATGTATCTATCATCAGTTATTACTAAGCCTATACTCCTTACAATCAAGTGTAAAAGTAGAAAAAGTAGTTCGCTGTGAAAAAAGCCCAAATCATATGCCATCATCTGATGGTTTAGACTATTGTATTAAGAAATAAAAAAGTCACACATTAGGATATCGGTGTGGCTCATCACACAGTGTCAGTTAGCTACAACGTGGAATTACGTACGTACGTGCATCAGTCCCAGTTGCCATACCACACAGTGTCACTATATTGATAATCGGGTACCTAGTTAACGCTATTGAATAGCCTATATGGAAGTAAAGTGAAAATGACTAAGGAGCATTAGACAATATATGAGCAAATAATGGAAGTGTAGAGTAATTTATGCACATTCAACCTTATATTTATCCATGTCCTAAGCAGGTACATGTTTCGCATTCATATAGTAGGACGGAGAAAACTGCTGCGTAGTAGACTCGTCCTTTGATTAGCAAACAATATCATAAAGCCGTCATTTACAAAATGTCAATATGTTTGCTTCCTGACAGAACAAATATTTTGCAATACATCATATAAACACAAGAGAAATATTAGGCACATGAGAAAATGCAGTAAAGCTAATTGTAATGGCAAATCGTGTAAATTACTGGTAAAATATGTTTGGCTTCAAACTGATAACTATGATGAAAAAGTGAAAACTCTTAGCTACACCACAGCTTACTTCTCTCCTTCATAAATAGAATAAAATAACTTATTCACCAGGTAGTTGGGTACAAAGACTTAACTAAAAGGCAAATCTTATAAGCAGAATTTATTTGGTAGAGATCAAAGTAGAATAATTCATACTTTAATTAATCCTATTAAATAGAGATTACATTCAGTGACTATTGGTTAAAGGGATTTGTAACACTGTTGACTGCCATATAAACGAAAAAGATCATAAAACTATAAGAAATAATATTGGTCATGTACACGTAACGTAGAACCTGACATATGTACATTAGTTCAGGTTGTCATAAAACATCAGGAAAACAGGATGCTACCAATGTGGTGTGTGCTACTTATACGAACGACATAAGTAGTATAAGAATGGACGTGAAAGAAGAAGTCTTACGGTCAGAAGAGGAAAACGGAAAGCAAATAGAGCAAAAGCAAGAAAGAAATAGAGCACCGACAGGAAGTAAAGGAAGCAACAGCAGGAATGGAAGAAGGCTGGAGTGTTGGAAGTCACGCGACTCAAAGATGGTGTGCAAATAGAGTAGTATTCAATGTAATGTTATCGTTTTTAATTGACTAAGAGTGTAAATTTGCCAAATACAATCTATTGATCCTGCCTCAGTCTTCTCACCAATAGTAATTATGTAATGACTGACGAAGCAAGAATCGGCAATAAATATATGGTACTTAAAATGTTTGAGGGCAATAGAAATAGACCGAAAAGTCAGTTTAGGATGATACTTAAGCTAAATTATCAAAGATAACTGCTTTCAAAGCAAAATTGTATGTTAAAGTACACTCGTAAATATTCAGCACGTTGACGAAATTGCCTAAACTTTATATGATATCAGCACGTTATAAAGCTTACTCTAAGTTTAAACAATAATTCTTTCGAGTTTATAAAAAATAGAATGACAAGAAAGCAAATCATCGTTGTTGTCGGTTTGTGATAAAAACCATAACTATAACGTAACTTTTAGAAACTAATCCTGAATAATTTGCCTCATAGCTGGTCTCAGTTAGCGAAACAAACTGTGTGGAGTGGTACCCCATAATGATAAAATTAGCCATAATTTTATTAGGTGGATATGCGGTGACTGATAAGTTCCATGCGTTATCGACGGTACGTGAGTCAACCACGGCATAACAAAAAGCTTAGTTCAGTGCCGAAGCTCATTGCGAGTTTAGTTGCCAGTTTCAAGGCAGTTGCTGTCACTAGAAATAAGATTTCATTTTATTGATAAATTCGTATTGTTTATGTTAGTTATTATAAACTGTATTAATTTCTTCATTGTTTCAGACAGTCGAGGAATGTAAACACCAATTCGAGACAATCAGAGCAAAGCAAACATAGATTAACAAGTTTAGATATAAATACGTCAAAAAACCCGACAAACTAGCTAAAATTCTCATGATGAATATGGTAAAATGAAACTAAGAACTAGTGTTTGAAAATGGCAATATATCTATATCTGACAAATCACGAAAATGCTACAATGAAATATTCGGCTATAAGCTATCACTATAGTGATTTTTCATGGATTATAGTCGTTCTTTATTTTATAACTAGGCAGCTTTTCCGGATTAGCTGATATGCCACTATAAAACACTAACCCTTTACTCCGGCTCTGCCGTTCAGCAAACTGAAAAAAATCTGATGCAGATGAAGCAAAACTTAAATGCTACAAAAGAGAAAAATTCACCACAAAGATTGTTCACTTCCTTACATTACAGATAAAAAAGCTATGAAAACGTAGTTCACTTAAACTGAACGGATAACGATTACCAAGATTCAGTGACCTTAAATTATGACCTTGAAGCTTGATTACAATATACAATATTCAATGTCTTTTCCCAATTTTTTCTTGAGCTCCCATAAACCAGTTACTTTGCGTGTACGCGATTCACGTTATTTTGCTGCGGTTCCAGGTATCTGATAGTGTCCAATTTATAGCCGTCTAGTCACTCGATTGCACTGGTTCTATCTGAGAGTTGACATTTTTGTGAATTTGTTTGTCCTGAGAGTTGAACAAGTACGTTTGACTAGGCGAAGTTGGGTTTCTGGATACCTGTAGCTATATCATAATTATCCCGGAAATAGGTCAGTAACAATGTGACAGTAAAAAAGAGAAAGATTCAGTACTTATAATGAGAAGAAAGTTTCAGTACTATGTGAATAGGTGTATAAGTCTTTCGAAAAGTGCGAAGGAATAATTTAGTGAATTGAAAAAGGATAATGATAACAAGTGACAAGTTTTGAGATATGCATCATACACAGATGGTCAAATCAGGAAATGATAATCCATATTTGAGTACGTTGTTATCAAGTCTCTACCTGAATCTATCTGCTGAGGTGGCGGTGGACACCTCGGCTGGATGAGCAATCCATGTTGCAACAAATCTTAATAAGAAGTGTTAACGGACTTGAGTATTAACTCCCCAGGCGAAAATTTCCGAGGTTTACATCAAGGGGCGTGGTGGTGGTTTTGCAAATGCTTTTGTTGGGTTGACTCGATGTACATAATATGTTGAATGTCAGTATCAGATCAGCTCTGATTCTTCTGTAACTCGGAGAGAATGATGCCAAGTGTTGAAGTTTGTCTTCGTACAGGTGTTCCTAAACCCTACCACTCATTTAATTGCGCATCTCTGCTGTTGATTTACAAAATTTAGGTTTCGTTTACGGAGAGGAGGTGCGGCGACATCGTTGACCTCAAGGTGTAGGCGTATCAATTAAAGAAGGGGATGAACAATTGTGGGATGATTGTAGCAAGTCTTCACATAAAGTGGAGAAATGCATTAGGCTTGACTTCCTCTCCTATGTAGTGTCACGTGGTTCTTAGGATTTGTATTATTTATCAGACAAATGACACCTTGAATACTTCGGATTTCAAAATCTTGTCGTTATCAACTAGTTTGGCTGAAGCTATAATACCTTCGCTTTTTATATGTCAAACATTCAAAGGCGTGCAGTTATGGAATGTTTTAGTCAATGTCCGTATCTTCGTAATAAAGTGAGTAATTCGTCTCGTTCTGCTTTCTTTTGGAGTACTCCATTGTTTTGTAACAGTTCTGTTTCCTTGCACAAAATCGTGTTTGGTTTTATATTGCTTAGACAAATTTTATGCAGTTTTCATCAGCCAAGCCAATCGTTCTATCTTAGGATTTGTTTAATATGTTTTCGGAAGTAGTAAAACCAAACGCCATCAGAAGTAATTTTTTCAGTAATTGAGACTGAAATCAAATTTTTAAAATGTCACACGTGATATTCTACTTTATCTGCTTATCGTAGCTGAAAAACTTACGCTTTCAAAACCCCTACAGAACTTGTTTCCAAATGGATGCATACAGCATACAAGATTGTTTACTTATTGTACAAACTGCTTGCACATTTTGATATAAGATGAATTTTATGATGATACTGCCTTCCGATTACGTCTTCCATGATCAAGATGTGGGTAAAGTAAACGTTAGAAAAACTAATTACTTCAATATAGATATCACCAATATTCAGAGCTCAAAAAGAACTCCTTTATGACCGTGAATTCCAAACCAGCAGTCAGGAATGATGGAATTCATAAATATATTTGAAAGATGGTCAGTTTGTTATGAAGTACATGATCCAAACTGAAAACCTCTTATGAGAAATGAAAAGTATGCGCTACCCAGTGTTAACTTAGTTCGGAAACTTGACCAAGTGCCTATAGCTATTATATTTAGTAAAACTAATGAAATAGTCATCACTGTCGAGGATTTAACTACGGCCACAGCTCACTCCTGCCTTTAGTTAGGTAGTGTTAAATCTATGATATGATCAACCAAATGTTTAGGCCCAGGGAACGTGCTATACTCCGAAGAATTAATAATCAAATATATATATATATATATTCGACCGAACTGTTTTAATATTCATTATCTGTAAAGTTTATTATTCCTTCTGTACTCGATCCCATAAACAGCTTCATCTAACGGTGTTGTGTTCTGATATATTGGAGATTTGGTGTCGTACCTGAATATCTGAATTTGGTCGATCGGCTGGATTTCGAATAGCTACACGGCGGATTGTAACAGTAACATTTTATTACCTTGTTTGATAATTCATTTCTTTGATTTCTGTAGCTAGTTGGTTCAAACATCATATTTTACGCATGACTATATTATATATATATATATACACATATATATATATATATAATTACCAAATGCTATCGAAGTCACTTTGAGACGGTTAACTACCGAGCAGTCATGGGGATTAAACCTCTCGTTAGTTTGCTGGAAATATCGACAAGTATTGGCTTCTGGATGAACATTTTATCATTGCAAGTCGTGATGACCAGCCGAATTTCGCATGATGTTCGGGACTTGAACCAGAGTATATCTTATTTGAGTGGCAGACACAGAGATACAAGATCTTTACCACATTCCCTTCACTGTAACTTTACGTGCTGCTACGAAGACAATATATGGTTACCTACCATAAGCCCTGAGCTGTGATATTCTCTGATCACTTCTCGTAGGCTTATAACAAAACACTGTTCTAGTTTACTCCTATTCTGTTGTACTGGTTGACTATTACTATACGTTTTTTCATTCTGTAAATCCTCCGCAAGGATCCTAGTGTCGATTCCATAGCTTCTATATTTTCAAAACAAATTCATCTCTTCGTGTAGTTCTCCTTTACCGATAATGAAAGCAATTCAAGTGTCTGCCTATTGATGAATTCACTCTTTGTCTATATAACCAATGACACATTGATTAATTAACAATAATTAAAACTTTAATATTTTGTTAGAATATTCATTCAATATCCTATGAGAATTATTGGTCAGTTCCTATTGGTTAATTCCTACTGATTAATTTTATGGTCGTCCTAGATATCAATGTCACGTATTCCAATGTTGTTTCTTTTTGGTCGTCCGGACTGTCAATGTCGTTTCAAATGTAGCTTCCTATTGGTCGTCACAGACTTCGATACTCGTTCCTATTCGACCTAAATGTATAGATACACATTATCTGTAAAGCTTTTGATTCCGTTCGTTCTTGACTTCCTCTCTACTGTACTCGACCCATTAAACAACTTCATCTAACGGCATTGTGTTCTGATATACAAGAGATTGGGAATAGTATTTGGGTCGTATTGGAATATTTGAATTCGGACGTCGGTAGGATTTGAATAGCTACATAGCAGCATTATAACAATTTATTGGTTCTGTAACTGTAGAAACTATTTTGAAGGTTTTGTGTTTTGGAAAACCCCTGCATGTATAAATATATTTGTGTTATGATATGACTGACTCTTCTGTTCGATATTTTGGTACTCTATTTGATTCCATTTTGAGATTTTATCATTTGTATCTTGTTATTATTTCTATATCTTGTGCTTATATTGAAGTTTTTATCTTTCCTTCTGAACTATACATATGTTGTTTAAATTTGATACTTAATATGGCTACAGCCATATTTGGATTTGATACTCTAGCAGTAACGGACTGGAAGCACTTATTCTTCCAGCAACGGAACCTATTGTGGTAATTGGAAACTCGAAGGTGTAAGTAATACTGTTTTGGTAATTGTCTGTATTTCCCTTTTTAATTAAATATAGAACCATTCTCTCCCAGAATTATCGTTTTTGGACTTGGACTGGGCGGGACACGTATGAACCTACACCTATCGGGTTGGAGCGGACTGCAAATGTAAATTATCATTTTCCAGTAACAACTTCCAAACCAATGTCCAATCAAAAAAAAGCAAAGTTAAAAAGCATATATCTTTTTTTATAACTTAAAATTCATACATTAATTAAATTTCTTACTACAACAACAACAATAACATAAAAATGGGAAATTTCAATGTACGCATAATTTTGCACTAAATGAAAGTGAAAACTGAATAGTAAGTCAGTCAGTCAGTCAGACAGACAGACATTAACTGACTACAACTTAATGAAACTAAATATACAACAACAACAGCAGCTTATACATTACAAATAGGACAATTGGCAAATATAGCAGCAATATAAGAAAAGATACAGTAAATTATATAAGTAGTATAAAAATTATATAATAAAAGAAAATGCAGACAATAATTATTCGTTGTAAGATATTTTGTAAAAGTTTCATCTGCCTGAATTATTTTCTTCATCCTAACACACACATACATACATACATACACACATTCACACACAAAACAAATAGCATACAAATCAAAAATTCATTTGCTTTCACTGTGAAAGCATTTAATCTCTCTCTCTCTTATAAAAAAAAGCGTAACGGTTTACTTACTATCTTCATAAGTAGTAGCAGTAGTATTAGCGTTAATTTGTTTTTTATTCAATTCTTCTAATCGATTAGATAAATTTTGTGAAAAACTATGCCGAAATAATGGACTTCGAACAGACAGTAGAGAATAGATTGTTTCATAATAATCTTCACAATCTGCAGGTTGGGCATCGGAATTGGAATTATCCACTGGTTGTTTTCTAACTTCATCATAACTGTGAATTATAATTAAATAAACAACAACAATAATAAGGAATTTTCTAGATCATAAAGCAACATTAACACAATGAACTAAACATCATCATCATCATCAGTATTAAAGGAAGTGAACAAAGTAAAATAGTTATTTAATACTTTTGCCAAACTGTGTCACTTATGGCGTAGGGGAGATATCCGTTTGCTGATTAAAGGACGAGTGTACTGTGCAGCAGTTCGCTCCGTCTTACTTTATGGCTGTGAAACATGGCCAGTGAAAGTAGATATTCGTAGGTTACTGGTTTTCGATCATTGGTGTCTTTGAAGCATTGCTCGTATATCGTGGGACACCCGAGTGAGCAACGCTGTTATTAGGAATCGAGTGCTAGGTAAGAATGGCAGATAAATAGACGCAGTAGTGACGCTTCATCAGTTGAGGTGGTTGGGATATGTGTTTCGTATGCCTAAGCACCGACTGCCTCGACGAGCTATTTTCTGTGGTGTAGGAGTAAGTTGGAAGAAAGCTACGGGCGGCCAAACCAAAACATGGCAGAAATCTATGAAGTCATTGACTAGTGGACTGAGCCATGTCGGTAGTTGTCGACTACCTGGTTGGGGTCCGCGACATGATAATAATCGATGGTTAGAGACCTTGAATGACATGGCTCAAAATCGTTCGCAATGGCGCCAGTGCATTTATTCATTGTGTTCTCTCAAATCCTAATCTTCTAGTTTCTCCAACTTTCTAAACTTATCTCACTGAATCATACTTCTTGAATAGTATCTTCTAATCCTAACCTCTCCGATTACTTCTAATACCTTTTACCACCTCTTCTACTATTGGATTTGAATTGACAATCACATCTCTGTGCTAATGTGGTATGGCGATATGAACTGATGTACTCACGTACGAAGTTCTACGTTGCATCTGACTGACTGACTGAGTTATTTAATACTGTAATCTAATCAATAAAATTCTCAAAGCGTAATCTATTTCAACGGATGTCAACATTCAACACTGAACACAATTTTTTGGCATTATATTTTATGGAGATCGTTATCAATCATTGTTAGACCACCAATAGAAACCTGGAAGCATTGGACGGCCGTTTCATTCTGGTAAGGGACTGATCAATGGCAATGTGCATCCACCACTCCTGCTACCTACAGTATTCGAATCTAGAGCATTCGAGCTTGCACGCCAACGTTTAACCTCTGGACCCCTGAATCGGCATCCAGTCGTCTTAATGTATAACTCTGACCAATCTAAGGATTTCGCGCAACCTCACCCATTGTCCTCCGTAGTTACTACCTCTACACACGACAGAGTTGAACTTCACTGGTCACATCTTTTCAATAGAACTCCGAGAATTTCATTACAAAGTTAGGCATTAGTGAGTACATTTTATGATTTTCGCAACACAGAATTAGGCAGATCGTTGTTTTACATTTAAAAATCATGAATCAATCATTGTTAGACCACCACCATCATTAGAAACCTAGAAACACTAGACGGACGGACATATTAGTTTCTAGAATGTGATCGATCTATCAACGATAGAATTTTTTTTTATAAAAAAAACTTCAATTATATTATCAACAATTATATTTTAAAACTAAACAATCCAAATTGAATAAAAATAGCACTGCTTAACTTTTCATTACACATTCAAGTACTACACTTACTCTACAATTCAACTTTAAAAAAAAAAAATTGATAACGCATTGTCATATAAACATGTTAACTAGGCTTGTAATTTACTTTACACAGAGATAAGGGTAGTGTGTTTTTGAAAACGTTGTACTTTAATAGCTATATCATTGTGCCTGGATTATAATCTAGGCACAATGATATTACAGAGTTACAGAGTTACTCAGTAAAATTGGAAAACCATATCGTAAATTGTTCATTTGCAAAATATCAGTTCATCATCATATCGAACGGGACTGTTCCTGTTGCAAAACATCGTTAATCCATTGTCACTATTCATGCGTTCGTTTCATACAAATCTTGATTGTGTTCTAACTCTTCCTTTCTTTCTTGATCTTCCCCCCATCTTCTCTTCTGCCAGACATTACGCTGACACTCACGTCATATACTACTACTTATAAGTAGCTCGCACCACACAATCAATATGTATCATGAAAATGTTACATTAATCAAAGCAATTTATTATGATTTAATAATCATAATTAAATAGAGATTATTGTAGCTCTACACATACATAATCGGTAAAAGTACAAGCTGATAAGTAGGAAGATCAAGTGTACTTTGTTAATAGTGTTAAAAATAATAAATTAAATTCGATAACCACACGTTTTTGTCAATAAATTCAACAACATTGGAAATAGTACGTGAAATGTGGATAAATGGACTTTAACTAATCAATAAATCAATCAATCAATCAATTAACAGCAATGTAGAACTTTGTACGTACGTACATCAGTTCAAGTTGCCATACCACCACATTAGTACAGAGAAATGAAATTGTCAATTCAAATCTCATAGTAGTACAAACATTAGCAATAATGGTGATCATGATTTAAAGATATTATTCACGAAGTATAATTCAGTGAAATAAACTTAAAAAGAAAAAGTTTAGGATTTGAGAGAACACAGAGAATGAAAGCACCTGCACTATTGCTAACGGTTTTGAGCTATGTCATTCAGGGTTTGTAATCGTAGATTAGTATCATCTTGCGGACCACAACTAGGTGGTTGTTGACACTTACCGACATGACTTAGTTCACTTGTCAGTGACTTCATGTATTTGTGACATGTTTTGCTCTGGCCACCCCAAGCTTTCTTCCAACCTACTCCAACATCACGAAACATCGCTTGTCAAGGCAGTCAGTGGTTGGACATACGCAACACATGTCCCAACCACCTCAACTGATGAAGTTTCACTACTTCATCATTTGATTCGCCATCGTTACCTAGAATTCGTTTCCTAACGACAGCATTGCTTACTCGGTTGTCCAAGGATACACGAGCAATGCTTCGGAGACACCTATAATCGAAAACCAGTAACCTACGAATATCTTCTACTCTGACTGGCCATGTTTCATAGCCATATAGTAGGACGAAGCGAACTACTGCACAGTATACTCGTCCTTTATAATTACCAAACGGTTATCTTTCCTATGCCATAAACGACGCAGGTTAGCAAAATAATGATCACAAAGCACTATTAGAATTACGTAATAATAAGTGTATAAATATAATTAGATAGTGAAGAATCTCAATTGGAAAGAGATGAAAATGTACGAACAAATAAAGGATGTGAAAATGATGATAATAATAACGAAAATTAAAAATTTTAAAAAAAATTTTAAAATCGCTTATTAAGTTTTATATGGCCAAGGAAGCGACAGAGGTGTCATGAATTTCTTCTTCTGAACGCATAAAACAAGGTTGAATGTTCGGATTCTTATGACTTCTGCTTTATGTAGGATATAGGATCGAACTCCATGAGGAAATAATGGAGATATATAATAGATCACTCGAACTGATTCAGAATTATCTCCATTATGACTGCTATCAATCAGATATGCCAAGGTAGAACTGCATATTGTTTTTATCTGGCATTTTCTAAACTATGCTGAGAAATGTTTACTCATTCGTTGGTTAAGTTGTCTGGTAGTACACCCGATATAGCTATCTCTACAGGAGCAGCGAAATTTGTAAATGCATATTGAAGAGGCCGATTCAGGCAACTTATCCTTCGTTTGAACAGACGTCACTGGTCGACTCAAGATTGGGTGCATAGAATGTCCTACTAATTACTGTCGTTAATCTGTCATGTAGGACATCGCTAGCCCCATCCCCGTTGAATTGTAGTTTAATGAATCAATGTTTCTTTCGAACAGTCAGTTTCCGACTTTTTTTTTACAGTACACATGTACACTTCTTTAAGAATACACTGAAGTAGACAGTTTGAGTCAGTAAATTGTTGATAAATTTCAGCTCCTGACTTACAGATCATTTTTCCTGTGCTTTTGAGACATCTAATCAAATTTCTTTTATAATGGATAGGTGTAAAACTAAAAAGAGTGAGTATATTGGCAAGCAGAAGGGCCTTTTACTGTACACGTTTCAACTTAACGAGCCGTCTACTCAGTGTTACGTCCAAGAAATTCAGCTTTTTGTCTCACTCGTCCATTTATTTCATTCTGAATATCGACTCAAAAGTTGCATTGTTGATCGGTTTAACAGTTACATATAAATATTCATGTACATTAAAGTAACGCCTGATGACGATCTAATTGACAGACAGAAAGATGCAACGCAGAACTTCGTACGTAAGTACATCAGTTCAGGTTGCCATGCCCCATCAGCACAGAGACGCAACTGTCAGTTCAAATCCAAGAGTAATGGCGATAGTAGAAGTATTAGAGAGTAGTGGAGAAGATTAGGATTCGAAGATTACGATTCGAGAAGTATGATTCAGTGAGATAAATTTAGAAGGAGAAAGGTAGAGATTATGAGGAATTTAGAAGGTTAGAATTAGAGAGAGCACAAAGAGTGGATGCACCTGCGCCATTGCAAACGGTTTTGAGCCATGTCATTCAAGGTCTATAACCATCGATTGTTATCATCTCGCGGACCCTAACCAGGTAGTCGATAACTACCGACATGACTCAGTCCACTCGTCAATGACTTGATGGATTGCTGCTATGATTTGGTTTGGCCGCCCCTAGCTTCCGTCCAGCCTATTCCTACACCACAAAACATAGCTCGTCGAGGTAGTCGGTGGTTACGCGTACGTAACACATGTCCTAACTTGAAATCCTCAAGACTAAAGGAAAGGAGAGGACGAATAAAAAACACATTACGCCAACAATCAAAAGCAGACATGAGAAGAATGAACAATAATTAGACAGAACTAGAAAGGAAAGCAGGAGGATAGAGTAGATTAGAGAATGCTAATCAGTGAGTGATCGTAAATCCATGAAACCTATTTATTATTATTCATATTGATTCTGTAAAAAAAATAGTTCACAAGGTTCAGTTGTTCAA